TCGTCCTCTCACGTAGAGGACGCTTCAAGGATGTGTGGAGGCCGTAGAGGCGGCAGGTGTGACACGCTGGAGTAGAAGTTGTTAACGGGGCACAGATCCTGGGTGGATGTGGCTGTGCTGGTGGGCGTCTCCACCACCTGCTCCATGTCCAGCTGCTTGGCTATCTCCTCTGCTTCCAGAGCCTGGTCAGGGGAGTCTGAGCCTGAAGATGCTGAGAAACAAAGAAAAAAAAATTAACATAAAACCTCTTTCTGACATATCAAAGCATCACTTTAATAATTCTGCACACCCTATATGGTTTACAATTAAGTACAAAGAGATAAAAAAGAAGCATTTTGGAAAAGGTAAGATGCCAAATGATGCACATGTACAAAACAGTGAAATAACATTGAGATAACTGGAATTACTTTTAGCTGGTGAGAAAAAGTTAAAAACAGGGCTGAAGATCGTCCCAAGCAGGGTTGTCCTGGGAGGACTGGAGGTCAGCTCAACTGCAGCCGTATCCTCCAAACTGCCGTTCGGCTTCTCCTTATTCCTGTCATGATTGGTCGCTTCTGCAGGGCGGAAAACACAAGGTTCAAGAGAAGTATAATCCGGAGGAGGAAAAAAAAGGCCAGATGTTAAGTGGTATAACTCAATTACTTTAAGCATTGTTAACTTACGGCCATTGATGGAGCCTTTCTTGCCTACTCTGCTTGCAGTCCTCCGGGGGGAGTTGGTGTTTGAAGGAGTGGAGGTGATGAGGTTGTTGTCCACATCGCAGTGGAGGCGTGTCTTCTTAGCCGGGCTCTCCTGCTGTAACTGGCAAAAAGAAACCATAACAGCTGTAGACATCTTAAAATTCACCTGTTCTTAAACAAAAACAGCATGTGACAGAGAGTATACAATCTTTTACAGAAGCCAAGGATTAATGGCAGCTTGCTGTGCAGGTTACAAAATGGCCGTAACAAGAAAGTTGAGCAGAATCTAGAAACTATATTATTTAAAAGTAACCAGCAAAGCAGATGCAACATTATCTAAGTATTAAAAAGACAATGATATAAATTTAGCACAGTTTTTAATATATTTTTTTCTAAATACAGGCAGGAAATGACCATATGACACATGCTTGATATTAAAACCAGCTTATTTCTTTATACATAGTATTAAAATAATAATAAGATAAATAAAAAAAACAACTATAACCTCCTATAGGAAATTTAGCTGAGTTGACTTTTCCATTCGCATAGAGATCCTGTCACTGCGCGCCAACATTGTGAGCTAAAATCTAAAATTAGATCAGAAAGAGGGTTCTCGGACAAGCTGCTGCATTCCATCAGAGTTTTCTTATGAAACATGACACTCTGCAGCCAGAAATGCTGCATTTGACTTGTGGACATGTAGCACACAATAGCCAATACAACTCTAAGCTGGTACTTCCTGGTAGCGTTTTCCCTTTTTAAAATAAACACCAAGTAGGAGCACCAACTCCATCCCACTGACCAAGTTTTTAAGCTGGTAAAGAAAATGACTGCTTTCACTTAAGTGACTATGTGGTCATAGGAGAGGTACCTTGACAGCATTTCCTCGGATTAACTTCTTGATGGTGGATAATATTCCCCTTCCTCCGCTGGCAGGAGGGTCGTCTTCTACCTCTGAATGCCTCCTCTTGGTTCGGGACGTGCGGCTTGTCAGAGCTGGGTTTTGGTGCTGAGACGCCTTTCGCATTCTCAGCCTCATTGTTCTTGCAGTCACATGTAAGGCTGTTGCAAGAATAAAAAAAAACATTTAAGAATGAGTACAGATGTAAGAAAGAAAAAAAAAGGCTAAGTCTCAAGGATGCAACTTTGTGTAAAAAGGCAACATTGGTTCCTTTTCTGCCAACATCTGGATGCATTCAAGATCCCATTTCACTTACATCAGGAGCATCACAGCAGCCACAGCTGGCTTTACTTCCACTCTACAGTTAAGAAAGGAGCATTTCTCTGGATCATACAATAAACAACTTTTCTAAACATGAAGCAGGAATGATGACATTAAAGTAAGATCAAAGTTTTGCTCAGGGCAACAAAATAAAGCAACGACAAGACTTAAAGAGACATGGGTGCGATAAACCAAGACACCCGCAAAGATATTTACATACATTCTGCAAGACAGATTGAGTAGCTCGGTATTATGGATTGGGAAAAAAAAGAAGAAAAAAAAAAAAAGAAAAATGTTGCATTAACCCATTAATTCCCCAAAGCTCTTTCCCTTGCGTAACAAAAAACAAAATGTGTCCAGACATATCCGCAACCAGTCAGGAACCGCTCCAGATGCAACAGCGCCTTCTCTGTAGAAGCTGAACATGCTGCATGCTGTAATTCCCAACATCTGGTTCGCATTTACACAACGACATAACCGAGTAGAGAATGAATGATGCTGTATTCAATGCACAGCAAAATGAAAAGAAGAAAAAAAAAAAGCTTTCCAAAGCACTGCTTTTTCTCTCCTGTTGCAAGTATGTTGCAACTGTGCAGAATGGAACGCAACTACAGGCAGCAGAACACAAAATGTTTAGGATGACTAACTACAGTAAATTAGAGATTAACTGTAATCATCACCATTAATCAAGCAGGTGTTATAGTTGATATAAACTGTCTCTATACTCTTTTCTATAAGACTAATCTATTCTAATGCAATTATATATTTATTCACACACCTCCCCATTTTATTTTCGTTTTCGCAGCATATGAGCTTTTACTACCTATATCTTTTGAATCACCCCGATGAGGTCTATATATTACGCAATTATATATATATATATATATATATATACATATACAATTTTGGACACAGATTTCAGACATTTCAGCTATACATGCTGACAGTAGGTTTGCAGAACTAAGTTGGTTTTTAATGTTGGATTTAATTCCTTTTAATTATGCATCATATCTCTAAGTTCTTATGGAGCAGTGAGCTTACAGATTAAAATAAAATATGTGAAATCTCAACACTGCATGATCAGACAGGGAGGACGGAAACACCAACAGCTCCAATACATTACATCCACCTTTCCAAGCAATCAGCCATGGATCATGCACACTGCTGGCTGAGAGTAAAGTGAGCGGGAAATAAGAACATCTGTGAGACTGAGAAGGCTAATACGAGTTAGCTAAGGACAACAGCAAGGATCCGTAACCATACAGCGGGTGGAGGCCCTTCCAAAATACGTTTCGTTCGTGTTGCAAAAATGCATAACGAGAGTTTCAAAAAGCTTACAAGTTAGCAACGCTTAGCTAATAATCGAAAGCAAATCGGACAATGACATATAGCCAGATCGCAATTAATTGTTTAAAACCACCATTACTGATAAAGATGTAACCAGTAAATCCCACGTTAAAAGCTCTGCAGTGTAATCACTGAGTTTAAGCACAATTAGCTTTTGCTTAAAAGGTAACTTTTAGTAACGAGCAATTCAAAGTAAAGCAAATCCGGGGAGAAGAAGTTTAGATTTTAAAAATGGAGAAACCTAAACAAAACATTTTATAGTGTCCCAGTCAATGCAGCATCACAATCTGAATGACAAAGTAAAGAATAATGAAAGGATTTGTTCAATTAAATCAACACTGTTTAGGTTGCCGAGCTGCAGTAGCCGTTAATATTTTGACATCGTTAATCAAAGCCGACAGTCACAATAACACCAGTAAATCTGATCTAGTCACCATTCCGTGAATTTAATTGATGATAGTTCATCGAATGAGTAATACGGAAATGTTGAAATATGTTTTGAAATAAAGCTAAACTGCAGTTTGAGCGCTAACGCGTAGCGCTGCTTAGGAATGTTAGCCGGCTAAACCAGTTAGCCAAGCAGCGCTTCGGGTTTTAATTATACTTTTTAAACGAAGTAACACTAATATGTACTGTGCGTCTAGTTATGTTTAAATCACCTCTTTAATAAAATTCTTCTGTCAGAATACAGGTTGAGTTTAAATAAAAGGTTAGTCAAATTAGTCATGTCGAAGGTAGGCCGTGAATTAGCCCGTTCTTAGCTTGTTAGCTTCGAAAGCTTCCCGCAGAACTGCTCCGGGCTAACAGATGTGCAGAGGCATGGAGAGAGGAGCATAAATCTCCTGTCAATAGCTTCAATTGCATAAACACAACCCCAAGTGCATAAAGGATGCGCGGACAGTTAAATATTAGCGACTTACTGTAATGTGACCCGCTGGACGTGACAGTAACGACTCAAGACAGATTAAACATCACAACATAGCACTGCATGTTCTTCCCCCCACCCGCCCCCTGTTGTATTTTTGCTGTTCAAGGACCGTCTTCGAAATGACACACCGCTGAGCTACCAGGCGCCATTTCCCGCCTCTGCCCTGTCTCTCAGAGCCAGATACCCGTATGGGACACACCCCCTGAGTTACCTCTGGAAAACAGCAGACAATCCGCAGCAACCTCCGCAGCTGGATCTCCAAAGCCTCACATTGCGTTTAGAAAGTGTTCAGTACAAATATGCAGTTTGTTTCCCCACTGGCTCGGTAAAAATGTTTTTTTTATTTGACCACAATGACCGCATATTTGTCTTGCTGAACACACAAAAGAAACATTAGGTTTATTTCCTTTATCCTGTGCATGGGCGGTTCTGGACAGGGGCCAACAGGGGTCTTTACGGAAGAGGATTAGAGCCACTGAAAAAATAAAATAAAAAGTTCACTGATTTTTGAATTTTATTTCAGTATATTAGAAAAAAAAAATCAGAAGTCTGGCTTTGTCTCAGAATTTTGGATGTTAATGTAGATGTAAAGAAGAGGATTAGGGCCACTGAAAAAAAAAATAAAAAAGTTCACTGATTTTTGAATTTTATTTCAGTATAATATGGGAGAAAAAAAAGTCAGAATTCTGACTGTAATCTCAGAATACTGACTTTTTTCTCAGAATTCTTACTTTAATCTCTGAATTCTGAATTTTTACTCTGAATTCTGACTTTAATCTCAGAATTCTGACTTTTTTCTTAGAATTCTGAATTTAATCTCAGAATTCTGACAGCTAATAAATATGTTAGCCATTTCTGTTTGAAAGACTTAACTAGCTCTCTTGTTTTAATCACCTTTTGCTCTTCCATTAATGAAATACCATCACCAGGGACCCCTCGGGCACATAAAAAGTCACCTAATTCCGTCATTTTGCACCAGTGTGTTACTGGACCCCCCAAACAACTCACATGTTTGTCAGTGAAGCTGAGTGCTCCCACATCTCTTCCTTCATGGTGCCCATCTACATTAAGATACAAAAATCTGAGATTAAAGTCAGAAATCTGAGATTAAATTCAGAATTATGAGAAACAATTCAGAATTGTGAGAAGTCAGAATTCTAAGATTAAAGTCAGAATTCTGAGATTAAAGTCAGAATTCTGAGATTAAAATCAGAATTCTGAGAAAAAAAGTCAAAATTCTGAGGAAAAAAGTCAAAATTCTGAGGAAAAAGTCAGAATTCCGAGATTAAAAGTCAGAATTCCGACTTTTTTCTCACATTATACTGAAATAGAATTTAAAAATCTGTTAATTTAAAAAAAAAATTTCAGTGGCCCTAATCCTCTTCTGTAGGTCTTGGCAGAGGTGTAGCCAGAAAATGTATTTAAGGCTGGCAAGGCAACAAGCAATATACACTGAGGGGCGGACGAAAGATGATAGGCGCCAGAACCTAAGGGTTGATCTACACTGTTCCAACAGGAAAATTAACAAGCGCAACATCCATACTTTCTAAATAAAGACGAACTATATTTTCCTGCAGCCTTTCCCAACAAATAGACGCATATATTTCAACATCCGTGCTTTCTAGATTAAAGGTATAGTGGAAACAATTCTTTCAGGTTTGAGTTTTGGGCAAACATCTTTTCCTTTGTCATTACTTACCTACTTTTATAAGTAATCATTCTGCATAAAATTGATATTTACAAGTACTAATATCTATATAAATTGATTATTTAATAGGTTTTTACTAAACTAGTTATTTATGTATGATTTTACTGAAGACTCTTAGATGACTTGCAGAGACACATCATTTTCTCTTTACCCCATATAACACAAAATCTAGTTCTAGATTTTAGCTCCGCCCCTGGGTAAATTTAGCCTTTAGCTTCTGAAGATATAAAAAAAAACAACTGCTCATTATGATGTCATGAGAGATGGGTAGCAGCTAGTTACACTTACTTTTGTAATAAAAAAAAAAGAGAGAAGTATTATTTTACAGCATTGTGGTTTTACTTCTATTTGAGCAAATATATCATTTGGTATCGCTACGCTTGAGTAAAATTTCTGGCTACCTGTCCATTGTGAGTAACTTCACCTGATAAGAAACAAGCTGCTTTTGAACAAATATGCACCATTGAGAGACACTTTCTTCTTTCTTGTACTCAAGGCTTATCGGTTAAATGTTATTCTCCATCTGCTGAGTCTGCCATAATTTGAATGCTGAGTGAAAATACATCATGCAGTAATTTAACCTATTCTGCATACAGTAATTATTGATTTTTTAAGTTTTATAACTCAGTGTGTATTTTAAATCATGTTCATTTGACATTTTTTATTGTGTTATTAAATTCTATGTTTATTTTTTTTCCTTATTCTTTGAATCATCAGAATTTGCATATCACTTAATATTTTGTTCAATTTTACATAAATAAGTTTACTTAGTAAGTAGATCAGGCTCAGAACTTCAGTAGCCTGTCTACCTATTTTTTTTCCGCTTAGCTGAGTAATTTTTTTAAAGGCTATATTTTACTTTTATTTGACTAAAACTATGATGAAGTAGTGCCCTTCTTACTTAAGTACAATTTCTGGGTACTCTATACCCACCTCTGGATGGTACCCTCTGGAGCAGAACCGATTTTTCTCTTAGAACAGACACGTGTTACGGCTGCAGTAGGTCTCTGCTTTTTCTTTTAGGGTTCTGGAGGCAGGCCTTCTGCAGGTGTTATGTTTTTTCCCTGATTGGTGCTCTGCTGCTTTAAAAGCTGTCATGCTGCAGCAGTCATGAGGCTTTTTTCCTCCTCTCCCTCTTCAGAACTCCAGTTGGTTTTGTTTGGACTTTATGATTGAGTTTTGTTAGGTTTGTTTTGCGTTTGTTTATTTCTAATTGGTTATGGTTTTGTATTAATCTGTTTTGGCTTCTTATTTCAGGTAATCCTTTTTTCAGTTTTTACTTAATATAATTTAATAAATTTCCTTTTTATTAACTCTGAAAATCCTTGTGTGGTCTCCATTAATGTTACCCCACCTAACAAGCCAGGTGGACGTAACACACGTTTGTGACGTATTTTGGGGAAAAGTATTTTAGATTAATGAACTGTTAGATTTGGGGTACATCTGCTAGGTCAGCCGTCACCTCTGCATATTGTCTGTTTTCATGTGGATCCTACATTAGCTTGTCGTCTCTGTGTCCTTTGAATGAGCTCCACTCAGAGCTTTAGAACCTGAAAGCTGTTTTTATTTTTATGTGGGAGATAAAACCAAGGCTCTCAAGACTGGCACGTCCAGTGCTCATCTGATTCCTCAGGGACTGTCCAAACTGTTCCGAGTGATGCCTCCAGCTGCGGATATAGCTATACAAACTAGAAGACCAGGACCAGGGTTTTAGGTTTCTTTCTTCTCATTCTTGCAACAATTAATTATGAAAGTGTCACTATGACTATTTTCATTGATCTCCTTTACTCACTGTACCTACAGTAGTTTTTTTTTTTTTTTTAGTTTACATTTTTGCTTTAACAATGATTAAAAAGTGAAAGTGCTCTGCTTTTAGCTTTAGCCGTATCAAAACAGGATGAGTTTTCACATATCCATTACTTAAAACATGTCCACAGCTGTTTATTGATTTTTTTTTATTCTCCAGATACAGAGTATTTATATTGTTAAAACACTATACAGTACAGTGCTTTTTTTCTTATGTTATTTCTATACACTTTTAAAAGGTTCACGTTATGTGACCACTTCTGCTAGAACCTTTTGCTGCTGGAACACCAACATTTCCCCATGGTGGAACAATAAAGGGATTTTCTACTCTATTCTATTTTCATCTGCAGGATTCAGGGGTCTAAAACTCTGCAGCTCCAGAACCGCAAGTTGGTCTAGAACTGCCACTGTTCCTATGACCTTTAACAACATCTAACATCTTACAGTAAAGATTTTAAAATTTGCACAAAATTGAGGTGACTTAGTTAGTCAATAACCATAGCTGATCCTATCAAGTAATTCAGGAAGTTTAAAAATAAAATTGTCAACCAATATTTGTGAATTGTTATTTTCCTTTTTTTTTGTCTCTGACATTTCACTCAATTGCTTTTGGATCTAAATCACTTAAATGTAATGCCTCATACACAAAAAAATGCCCGGACTGGAATAGGTATTTCAATATCAGTATTTAACTTAGTTCAATTGAATTTTCCCAGAAGGAGATGGTAGGTATACAACAAAAATCCCAAACTACAACAAACTGAAAAATATAGTGATAAAAATAAATAGTAAGAAAAGCAATGGTCTAACAAAATGTAATTAAGTCCTGTATAAAATCTGAGCATATTTAAAACCTGAGAGGAGACAATTACATTAGTTTTAAAAAGCATGGGAAGTGCAATATAGGGCATTCCTTTGCATTAGCTGGAGCTGTGACTCTTGCTGATATTATCCCCTTTTCCATCAATAATTCATTGGTTTTATTACACACCAATGACCTGTTAACTCTGTTGTACACTTAAATGCAAATTAAGGAAATTGGTAGATATCACCAGGAGTAAAGTCTGATCATGCATTAAATGTATTAAGAATTGCATGAGTATGTTTGTTTGTTTTTTAAGCAGGACAGTGTGAACAACTTGAAATCACTCGTTTTCTCAGTATGAAAATCAATGCAAAATGTGAATTTTCTTCAGCAATGTCTACACCTTTGGAAACACCATTGTGTTTCCATGGTCATATCTGTTTTCCTTACACATCAAACATTTAATATGTAATATTTTCAGAATTCAACCTTTTGCTTGAATGCCTGTTTCTTTGTGTTTTAGCTCTATATTTGGATCTTCAACCCTGACTAAGTGATTTATCTTGCATTTTTTAGATTTATTCTTCAACTTGAGTACCATTAATTTGTGTGACCACTTTTGCTACAATCATTTGGCACTGTAACCCAGCTGTATTCCCATTGTGGGACTAAAAAGGGATTTTCTATTCTAATATATTAATCAGTGAATGCAGAAGACAGTCATAACTTAATCTAAAGTTGTCATGGTAAATATAACTGTAATATATAGAAAAAAACTCTTGAAAATGAAGGTTTCCCATTTCAACTTAAAGCCCAAGCAAAAAATAAATAAAATTA